ATGTCTTAAAGAGTCTAAGTCTTTGGCAGTCTTAGAATTATAATAAAAACTTTTAAGTCCTTTCCCTGGGAGAGCAATCACACCCGACCGAAATGTGTAGAGACTCAAAGCATCTGGATACAGACTGAGACCATCGGTGATGCAACATCAGAGTAAGAACCGATAAAAACAAACCCACGCACTCACTCACAAACATCTATGTAATCAGGTAATTCTACAATCATTTTAAAGAAATGCTCCAAGCTAGTACTATTGTGATCTTTTAGCTGGAATGTTTTGAACATATTTGACCCTTGAAATAAGATATATGCCATAAAATGTGCTAAAGATTATATAAAAGATGGTCGCACACTACTCACAAGGACCATAATAATGCAACTGCCAGCATTAACAAAGCACCTCTACTCTTTGTATTCTGCTAATTATCTTCTTTTGGTGAAAGCTGAATGTTCTGACATGCATTTCCATTCATGCTGCAGGCTGGCAGAGAACAGTCTGCACATTGGGAATATCAGGAATACTGGATCATGACAGGAGTGGGCACTGTCCTTGGGAAAGTGTGCAACATTGATAAGCCCCACTGAGACTCCTGAAAGGGAAAAAAAAGGACGAGCCAATCGATCATGAGTTTTGAACCGTGAGTGAAGATTAAGCTTGATGTACACAATTACATCTCCATAACCACTTTGATCTCCCTTGTGTTTAATTATAGCGTGATACCAGCTTTTTAAGCAAAAAATCAAAAGCAGTTAGAAAATGTGAGATGTAAAAGTTATGAAAAAAAATCTGGAAACACTGACTACATATTGAGGGTAGACCAGAAGTTTCACAAGCCTGCATCACATCTGTCTCCTGTGTTCAATGCCAAAACAGACAGGTTTTAATCTGCAGCTTTATGGCAGTGCCGCAGAAACAACTGATGAGAACCTTTAGCTGCTAATGTATCCTGGGGCTTAAAGGGACTAACTCATAGACAGAAGGCAGCTCATTCAAGACCACATGCTGGTACCTTACATTTCTTATAGGGATAGAGCGAAATAAAAAGTGGTGAGAAAAGGAAAAAAGAGACAAATAAAAATTTAGCACATAAATACTAGCTATAGATAGACGCAGGCTTGTATTTATTGATGAATTATTTTGAAATCTTTTTATATATATCTTTGTCTGACACGTTGCCTCTGTTTGAACTTAGAACATTATCGTACAAAAAGACAAATAGATTTCTTTAATGGTCGACATATTTTGATCAATTCTGTTTTCATATCAATTAAAATCACTGGCTGAATACAACTGCGTGAGATGAGCTGGTGCAACATTTCTGCAACACAAAGTTCGATAAAACGTGTACATTATTCAGTCATATGATATATAATTGTTATATAAGAAATATAACATCTCAGTCATACAATATGCTTGTTATTTACGTAGGTTTGCATGTTTTATAAATTTACATACTGTATATTTTAAGATGTGCTTTTAAATACCTTTATCTTAGATTCAATTTAAAAATGGCTCCCAGAATCTGAGAACTTATTTGAAAGCTAAAACATCCCTACTGAAATGTTTTATTTGTCAGTGCCAAAAGAAACGAGAGACAAGAAGTAAAGCCTCTAGCGGGGTTAAATATTACCATCTGTTTATTGGACATTGTCTTTCTTGGAAGGGAAAATGCAATTCAAACATCCCATAATCACTAAAGGATGCTGGTGTTGCATCAGGTCTGAAAGGATTAACTCACTGTGGCTCACACGTGTATAGAACAAAGGGTAGAACAATATATTCACATATCTAAATAAATATGCTCTTGTGACAAGAGTTAAGAAAACTGTGTTCACCGCTACAAATTGTGAGATGATGATTTTTCTTAAACTAATTTGTTTTCACGCTCAAATGATAATCATGTCCGATTAATCAATATTAACGGCTGACAGACCTATGTTCTTTGTGGAGCTTATATCACACATTCAGTCAATTTGCAGCATCTAAAAGCTGGGGCACTGTGACTGGGTGGAGGGTGTTGTCTATTCTGACCAATCAGTGATGCTGATCCTGTCTCTTTTTCCTCACTGACGTCAGACAGATGAAAGCCAAAAGGAGAGGGAGGAGAGGAAGAGGGGTTAACGGTGAGTTAGAAAAGTGGAAGAAATATTCCAGGCAGAGGCAGGGGAGGGAGAGACAGGAAAGAGGGATATGTAGAGTCAGTGCCATCTGAGGGAGGAGAAAGTCTGAACAGATTTTTAACAGGAAGGAAGAAAAAAATACTGATTAAAGAAAAGAAGATGAAAATAAACATTGGAGGGCAAAATATCTGGTGATACAATCATCTTTAAAGATCCTTTTCCCTTCCATGCTGACTGGTGGATAAGGGGTATAATTTTTGATATAACAAAATTTGGCTTGTGGCCATGTGCACATTTAAATGATGTCACCTGTTTCTTTTCTCTGACCTTGTTCTCTCCCTTTGGCACTAAAAAGCACCAACTTTTTTTACCCATTCTATTCGCTTTTCTTTAAAGCGTCACTTATGCATAGATTTCTGAATGTCATCTGAATGACACAAATAGATGTCCAAGTGCTTTTGATAAGCCAGACCATTCTCTCCATTCGTTGTATTCCCAGAAACTTCCAAATGAATACGCGACAAAGCAATAAACTGTGCAAATTATCTGTCATTTAGCAAGAGCTATCACTACAGTTAGACAGTGCAATCAATTCTATGCATGCTGCTTCAAAAGGGATGGCAGATGAGTCATGTCTGCCAACCCATACTGTTACTGTGATGGCCCTAGATTTAAGGGCCAGCAATCTGCATTCATCTCACAAGTGCTCTACCTTTCTCTTTCCCCTCTTCCATCTCTTTTCTCTGCCACTCTTGCCCTCACACTACTTGCATCTCCTTCACAGGCATAGATACACAAGCAGATAGAAAAATACCCAGTTTGGTGTGAAACTGACAACTCCCCATGTATTGTGCACCACTACCCTCTCGGGATCTGATAAAAGTGAGGTGTAAGGCTCAATCCACTCATTCTGAAGGCATGGAAATGATTTTATGATGCTCCGCGCTGGGTGCCTGCATCAAGAGAATATGGGTGCGCACATATCTGCACAAATATCACAGGCAGGGTCAAAAACAGAGTACGAAATAGAGCAAATACAGTTAAGGGCATACTAGACAATCCCGGGCAAAGTAGAGCATCTATCCCCATGAGACAAGATCACAGTATACTGCAGTGACATAATATGTGAGAGCTATGAGTGATGAATGAGCATTCTAGCACCCATGGCAACCACACAACAGATGTTTGCCATAGCACAATCCATGGTTTCAATTCCAAATAATGTCCCCATAAAAGTCAGGCCACCACATAGGAACTTTAAGCCTTTATTACAAGTAGATACGCGTCACAGATGAAGGCACCCCAAATACCAAATAAACTGATTGTTTTAAGTCAGTTTTGGTAATCATTAGCCAGCCTGCCATTTGCAAAAAGACTTCCCTTTAGTCCTGACAGCACAATGCAAGGTGATTATGTGACTTATTTAGTCCCTTAAGCTTAAGCAATATGGTAAATGGTGGGATGTATTCAAATATCAGACAAGAAGAACTCATTTTGTTCGGTTCGGTTTTGTTTGGTTCAATTTGTTGTAATAGAAGTAGCGATTGATGAGCTATCCATGGTGCTGAAATGATTTCCACTTTCCACTTTGTTTTAGATTCCTATGTTTCCACTAACATGATGATGATATGAGGTTTGAGGAGTAAGGATACAAATGTTTACTCCCTTTCTTTACTTTACTCACTATGAAGTGTAGCTTCATATATTTCCCCAAAGCCCTTTTGTTCTTTCCTTACCTGTCCCATATAGTTGAGCATCACTGAAACAGTCATAGTCAAAGTCATGTGCTTGATATCAGTCTCAACTCTACAAAGCTGATAAAACAAGGCACTTTTAAAGGAGCCTATAATAGTATCAAATTTAGGATTACAAACCCTGTGTTTGTACTTGTCCAAGCCTTGGTTCTTACTAGTTTTCTGTTTTGTTGTTGAATACTCTCACAATTCTGCCTCCCCTGCTGCAAAGGTAAAAATATTTGATGATTCGTTGCGCATAAAAATGGATTGGATCGTTTTATAATTACATGGGAACAGCAAGTGGACCGTTAACTGCGTTGTTGTGAATGGACTTGCGCCCACCTTGCACCAAATGCAAGATGTCGCCACAAGTGTGTGTTGCTCCTCGTCCGGGATGTATTTCACGACTATAATGAAGAGTTGAGTGGATAGCCAAAACATAATTAATCACCTTTAGGTGTCTGTGGGCTCTCCCTCACCCTCCCTGCGTGTGCATGTGCATGTGTATGTGTGGTGTGCATACAGGTAATAAGCTGCTCCGCCACTGCGCAACGATGGAGCTATCGCAGCGATGGAGATGACGCAAACAGACCCAGCTCTCCGAAAAAGTGTTTCAAGACGAACATGGCGGCAACTTAACCGTGGTCCAAGATGACAATGAGCATTGGGAGAAAGGATTCGAGTCTCTCCGCCCAGGTACGGGACCAAATATCCATTCAGCCTGCATCGAAAGGGCTCGTTGCCCTCCTTTAAGTGAATCTGCAGAGCGAGCGGCGGCAGACGCGCAGCGTCAGAACCGAGAGGCTCGCAACAGCTGGTCCTCCTGCGCTCCCCGCCAGAGAACAATCCCGGGGAAGGGACGGTCGGGAGAGGGGGGCATGCGGTCAAAGAGGACGCCGTTTCCCCCCGGAGAGCCATGGAGAACCGGGATGAGGCAGCGCGAGGCTTAATTTGTGCGGGCTCGCTAATTGGATCGGAATAGCACCATTGCTGCGGGCGCGATAGTGGAGCGCCCTGGACCGGCGCAGGCACCCCACCGTTACAGAGGAGAAACCAACCGGAGTCCGCCTCCCAACAAGTCAATGAATATTGTGGCAGAGCAGCCCCCGTGGTGGAGTCGGCCAGGGCAGCACTTTCCTAAAATATGACCAGGGGTGCTTGGATGCGTCGGCAGCATGATAACGGCTTAAAATACTGGTTTGCGCCCCGAGAGAACGAGAAGCCATTTACCGAGTCGGAGCGGGCCCAGAGATGGCGACTGTCGCTGGCCTCTCTGCTCTTCATCACCGTCCTGCTCTCTGATCACTTGTGGTTCTGCGCCGAGGCGAAACTGACGCGAACCCGAGACAAGCGGTCGGACGAGGGGTTTGCAATTACGGACACGGGCGAGAACCCAAACTCCCTCCACCACCGAGACCATAACCCAACATCACCTTACACCCACCGTCTCGCCAGAGAGCAAGATGATATTTTTATAGGGAATTCTACCAAACCTCTGTGGCGAATGGACACCTGTCACCCAGACAGCGTGTCAAAAGACTGCTTTACTTTCACGGACGCGCAGACCGTGTGCCTGGGCCTCTCAGGTGGAGGGGAAGAGGGGACACAGTCAGCCTACGTGAATTTGAGCGATTTGTACCTTTCTTTTTGTAATTCCTACTCACTTTTGGATTTGTTTTACGGGTTTACGAGTCCGGGCGTTATGAATTGCACCCTGGATATGGCCATGGGGGTGGATCTGCTGGGATGCAGGGAGTGTGTCCAGGCTTATCAGCGTCTTGATCAGCAGGCGGAGGAGAACTACCGGGAGTTTGAGCTGCTGGTTCAGAAATACGAGACGGATGCATACTCTGTCAGGACGTGCATGGATGAATGCAAGGTAGGACGGAGGAGGCCGGGTCGAGCTCGCGCACCTACTCACGCACGTGCATTGAAAGGGGGTGGGTTCACTGTCGTCATGGCAACCATTGGGCATATCTGGGCATATACTTTCATTTAATTTACTAGAGTTCAGTCCACCAGTAGGCTGCCCGGGTCTGTGCAGCATCAACTGACATGTCAGACTTTACATCCATGCACAGCTGAACACAGGGTGCCAAAGGAAAGATGGACATTTGCGTTTCTATTTTTCCTTCTCTCTTTTGGTTAAGGATGGCCTTTGTAATATAAACCTCAGCGACTGTGGATACGACGTTTGGCATATGGAGCGAGGTCCGGGCTTACCGTCCCAGAGCTCCATGAGATAAGAACAGGGGACAGGCCTGTTGACTGGTGCATATTTCAATATGGATAATAGCACTCCTGTGATTTCTGCTCCTAATCCAGGCTTAGTTTGCATTGTCCCCACCTTACTTGTGACTCCAAAAGCATAACAGCTTCAGAGCAGATATATCTGATTCTGACCTGCAAATGTGTTTTTACGAAACCTGTTGCAAACAGACCGAACAGGAAAAAAGAAACACTGTGGAAATACATTTAATTGACACTTTAATGCACTTTATTTAATTTGTTGTGCTGAACTGTTGCGGTGGCTTTTATTTCCTCTGCTGTTAACTGCCCATAGTGCCGAGGGAGGCACTGCAAATGACTTTTTAGAAGGAATATAGTTATTTAACAGCATTTTAAGGTTGGCACGTGTTCACTTTTATTAATCCTCACAATATATGTTGATGTATTTAACCAAACAGATCTTACCCAACATTGAAACTGAAGTCTTGTACTGCGTTTACCTAACAGTATTCCTCATCCGTTGCAACGTATAATGGGGCCTCTTTGTTTGAAATAGCTCTCCAAATAGATGCAGAGCATGCACAAGTTGGATGTAGTCTAAGTGCAAGGGAAAAGTGTGGAATACAAAGAGACTGTAGATGCGGGGGCAAAGAAGCTTGACAGTGGCAACAGAGATTTATATCATATTAATCCATCTTGTAGAGATACAGAAGTCAGTTGAACGAGGCAGTCTGACAACATGCATCATTACACAGTTAGTAGCTTACTGCACCTATAGTTTTCCAGTGATTTGTGCTTTTGTGTGTGAACCTTAAATGGGGAATCCCCCCTCATTTCTGAGATCATAATGATCCTAAAACCAGAGCAAATTTTTGCATTATAGATGTGCTGTGCTTTTGTGTTGATAATCTACCCTCTATGAAGAAACTAGGTTCTGCAGAGTGTTGTTTTCTTACTGTGAGTAATTGCATAGTCTATTGATTGTTTTTCAGAGTGTGTTATGCATACTCATGTGCATTATGCATGTATAAATCTATAGCATCTTATAGCTGCTTCCCGTACACGCCATCTAATCAGTAGTGTGCTTTTACCCTGCAATTCTTTGCTAATGTAATAAGTCTCAGGCAGGGCTACATCAGCCTTTTGGCCCCTTTAGCTCAATCTGAATTGCTAATCTTCTTCAATGTTCATGTGACCTTTGTGAAAACGCAGCACCCCAGGCCTGCAGGCCTGCATCACAAGCCACTGCTCCTTCTAGAGCGTCTGTGTTGAGCAAAAAACAGAGATTCAGCAGCTTGAAACAATAATAATTGCGATTGACTCTTATCTCTTGTATTTCATCTTAATGCTTCATCAACATTTGAAAGATGTTTGAAACTGTCTTCAAGCGCAAAGTGACATGAAACGCCAGCACCATATGATCTTCTTGCTTGGAATATTTGCATTTTCTTATGGTCACTGTAAGAGGTAACAGAAACGATCTGCTAGGGTCAAAATTAAAAAAGGAAATGACCAAAAGGGACATGTTACTATCGCAGTACTCGCACACAAAAGACATAACGTTGAACAGATGTGAATGGTGAGCTAAGAGCACAGTCTCCATCAGGATGGTGTTTCAGGCTGAGCCAGATTTATCTATCAATTTTGCAGTTAGACAAGCCAGAAAGATGAAAGCAATAAAACTATGTACATGAAATCATTGCATATAGTGTAACTCAAAGTGATAAGTCCTAGGGCTCGAAATGTCTTTCAAAGATCCTTTACAAGACAAATACACACAGAGAGGAAACAAGGCACTAAAGCGTCCTTAAACCAGTCAGGCTGCTTGAGGGTTTCCATTGAGTTGAGTTTTTCCCACCTAGGGATGTTTTTTCTCTCTTCCATCGTAGAAACCCTCGAGTCTATGGTGTGCTCCAAGTGACAGAGCTATAGAAAACACACACACATGACACAAAGCTGCAAAGATGCTATACCATAGAATATAATTCTATAGAATACTATTCTATCTGTATTTTGTGTTACAGTGTTGGGCTCTTCAGTAATATAAGATACAAGTATGTTTAGCTTTTTTGTTTGTTTTTCATAAACCTTGCACACCCATACCTGATTCCCCTATTAAACTCCTATGGTCCCTTAAGCCATCACTGTAGAAAACAACACAATGATTTAAATCAGGTCGCTCCATTAAGAGAGAATTTTAATTTTCCAGTCACCTATGATCACCACCTATTGGATGTTATATAATAGGCATGCATGTGTACAAACACAAGACAATACACACACACAGTGTTTCCTGCAGGTCCAGACCTGACTGTCCCTTCCGGTGTAATTTAATTTGCACTCCCTTAATTCTCTTCTTCTCTAGTGGCTCTGTCTCCAGGGCTCTGTCTCAACATGTTGATCTCCTTTCTCCTTCAATCAGTCACTGTCTCCCTCTTTCTCTCACATCCTCTCAGATCTGTGTCAGAGCTCTGAGGAACCTTCATCACACATAGACACACGTTGGGTAATCTGTCTACCTCGCCCTCCATCGCATACAGTAGATGTTCTTTCCATCAGGTCTCATGGGTTTTCTTTTCTGCTGAATCTCTGAGAACATGGATGTTGATCTTTTTCTGCTGGAGTGATCGATACTGTAGGCTAAGTCCTTTCCTCCCCTTTAATTAAAGGCCTGTCCACACTGATCCCTCTGTTTACTCCTCTACCCTGACTTTCTGATCCCTTACTTATTCAATCACTTTATCTCTGTGCGTTCACAAGCATCTAGTGAGCCACCGTTTGATTTAGTTGTGAAGGTTTATGTGACAATTCAGCGGCAGCACTGAGCACACAGCACAGCTGAGGCAGTTTTATGCACACTGTACTGAGTACAATGACATTTTGAGCGGATGATTGAAGTGTAAAGTTTGAGGCTCCATCCTCACACTTCCCGTACTTCAGAAGAGAAGAAGAAAGAACTAGCAGTATTACCATCAAGTCCAGTCAGATTTTAGCATCAGGGGACAGATTGATGGATAATTCCACAACATTAGAGGTCTGCTCACAACACACAACACTGTCTGATGTGAACAAAAGCCTCATAACTGCCATGATCCAAGGCACAATTCCATGTTTAACTGTGAAAAATATTGCAGATTGTACGAAAACTTTGGAAGCTATAACTTTGCTTAAAGTGTTACCCAGATTGAATCCATTAAAACACTTTTGGGAGAGCTTCAAAAGAAATGCAAAGCAATAATGCTCCTCTTTGAAAACAGAGCTGAATGGGTTTTTCTCTGAAGATAGGTAAAAAGTTTATTTTCGAGTCATCAAAAATAATGTTGGGAGTTAAAGTTTGGTTAACTTTTGTTTTATTGCTTTCCTTCGGTGGGAACTGAAATCTAATACACCTGTAATAAATTTAATCCATTTGTTTGGCATTTTACACAAGAGTGCCCTCCATGTCGCTCATCTTGGAAGTGCTGTAAGTAGATCAAACTCAGTTCTCACCCTGTACTTTTCTTCACAACCCAGCTAAATGCAGGGAAACATCCCTTCAAATGGTCAGCGAGTGTAATGGCTAATTATATATGTGCCGCCAGTAGAACATGCCCCAGCTCCGCTCATTGTGATGTGAGTCAAACCCATGACACGCACAAACAGCTGCTTTTTGATTTCTGGCTCTTACTGTTGTGCTCCGTCAAATGAGCTGATCAGTAGGTGATGTGTTTTTTTTTTTCGACAAATCCGAAAGAGAAGGAGCTAATGAGACGGGGTGGAAATGGCTTTATTAGTCCATGTGAAATTCATTAAACATTGGAGGAATCAAATCACAAACCAGCTTGCATTTGTTTGGTGACGCTAAGATTGTATTTAGGTGTCCGACATAATAGGTCTATTTAGAACCAGACAGTTGAACTTTATGCAGTTTTCGCTGATGGTGGGGTTAAAAAAGAAAAGAAAAGGAATAACTTGATTAATAGCATCAGTGATGTTGGGAGCTTTAGAAGAGCAACCATTAGAGCTCAGCAAAGCTCCTCTTTGAGATGCACATGTTCATTTGATTTTTAAGCGCAACGATAATCTGCAGACTAGATTGTTTATTTGAAAGGGGGAGAAATTAGCTTCTCAATTGATGATAAAAATGGAATCCATTTTGGGGGAACTTCATTGATGCAGATCTTACGAAGCAAGGAGTGAAAGTGTGATATTTGAAATCAATTCTGTGAGCTTGTATGGTTTAAAAAAGAAAACTGCACTGCCTCAGCATTTTATTTCTATGTAAATCTGCTTGAACCTGAAATGAATTCGGCCATGCTCCTGTTATGATGGTTGAGGAGTAATTGTGACACAATGGCCACAATGTAGTATTTCACCCCTAAATGTATGTCACCAAAGGCATAGATTAATTGCACATTTCAAAAGTGTAATGAAACATCGGGTTAGAACCATTTTATGTGATTCTGTTAACTGTGTGTGCAATCATCTCTAAAATAGTGCTGGAACCCGTCCAAGCTGACTGCGGCTTTTTTGTTTTATAACCCTGTCATCCAATCACCAGCTCTTGACCTCGCTCCACGACAGAAGGGATTCATCTTAAACTAGCTTATATTGTTTTGTGAAATGAAACCGCATCCTGCTGTCATGCACCGGTAATAGCATTTAGCCACAGCCTATCAGGGAGTCATTCCACATTAGACTTAGATCTAAGCCTAACCATCTAAAAGCCGTGGCAACATCGAGTTTTCTTAGTAGCAGTCACATTTTTTAAATGTTTTGAAAATGCAGTGTTTAAACCCTTCAGCTCAGTGCAAATCTTTCCCGGAAAAAAAGAAATCTTTTGCAGATTTCAGGATGTATCTGGTTAAGTATAATGTTATTAGTTCACCTAATTGTGGCATAGATGTGATCATAATCAGTTTTAGTAACCATGAGAAATTTGTCATTAGAGTACCCAATTAAAATTTGAATAATTGTAACATATCAATTAGATTAGCCCTATGCACTCGCTGATTTTGACTGATTTTCCTGTAGGGAT